ATAGGCGAAGTCTACCTTGTGAAAGATAAAAACCGCAAAGTGCCTGGGGACTGCAGCAACTCAGGGAGAAAGGGGCACTGCATTGAATCAGGGCCAGTCTGCACAGCTTGCACAAGAGCCAGGTCCAAATTGCTTAGGGTATTCAGATGTGCGATGTTAATATCCTATTCACGCTCTGCTTTGATTACTGATTGCATCTATTTTTACTTTGACACCAGCAGACTTCCTTCATTTTTTCTTAAATAAACTGCGCCACCTTCCCATCCTCCTCTGCCTCCCCTGTGTCCCCACGCCAGTTGCCACTCTGTTCCTGGCGCAGACTGGTCGTATCCTTGCTGAGATCCACCACAGCGGCCACTTCTACCTTTTGCTTGCAATAAAGCAAAACACATTAGGTGGCCTTATTCTAACTCCTTGATCATAATTACTTAAAAAGCCCCAAATGACTACATTGAGGGGAAGCAGAGCAAAATGTCCAGACACATGGATTAGAAAACCTCCCAAAGGCCAAGAGGAAAGAAAAGCTTTATACAATTTCTCGGAGTGTATTCCCTAAAGCTTCCTCAGCTGGAGTCCTTTCTACCACCAGCAATTTGACACACTTGTTTCGTTTAAAAATATAGAGAATGCATTTAGGACCATATTTTAGAAAATAGTCCATCACCTTGCAGTTTATATAAAACAGTTTATAGCCTCAGTCTGCCAAAGGGCAGGGGCTTTGTACAAGGGGTTGAAAATGAAAACGCCTGGCTGTGCTCAGTCCGACCTGCAATTCTTTTCACATGCAGAGGTAGAGGCCCCGGGGAGAGGAAGGCCAGAAGAAAGGAAGGGTGTGTGCCCAGGGCTGGAGAGATGTGGGTCAAATCTCTGTTCTGCCTTCCCATCTCTCCATTGGTATGACTGAATACAGAAGTATTTCCCTTTCTCGCAATGATATTCTGAGGATAAATACACTAAAAAATTAAGGTGTCCAGCTGCTGCTTTGTATTATTAAGATAGTTCCTTCTGATCTTATGTCTAGGTTTCATCTTCAAATGATGCCTGAGTCAAAAAACCCCACCATGAAAGCTGTGTTTCTGTAAGATAAAATGTGGCTAATGTATCATTCATTCGATGTTGCTGTGATTCTCTGATGGCCTCAGAAGTGCCCTTACATATAAAAATATTTGTTTCGGAGCAAGCACAGGGATAACTCCCAAAGAATTACCCCTTAAATTTTGAGGCCAGTGCTTTCAGAGCTAAGATCTTGGGAAAGCAGCAAGTGTAGACCATCCATGCCACGTAGGGATGTTTGTGTAAGGTTTGGCAGTAGCTACAGCCATCCGAAACTCTGATAAGCCAGAACAAAACATTTTGCCTGTGTAATCATCCACATCCTGACCTCCTGTGCTGCCTTCCCAATATTTTACTGCAGCTGTGCCTTGCAGAAAACCATTTTCTGCAGCAGAGAACAAGGTTACAGAGTTACCTGTGGGTGGATCCTCACATATCAATTGGTATTTCTTCATGAAGCTACCCTGAATTACCTCAGGGTTCAGTATATTTTCTTAAAATCGCAGAGGATAATGCATCTAGTGCCATCTTTCACCTCTGATTCTTATAACCGCCCAGCTGGGCACAATACCTTAGAGCTGGTTAAAAGAGGCTTAAAGCAGTAACATACACGTTTCTTTTCGCATATCCCAAACATGTTGCAAAAAGTCATTTTTTGTGAAGGTCGGAGCTGGGATTGGTATCTTTGTATTTTGAGCCAAACGGATATAAATTTCGCACTATATTAACCCACCGTGCTGATTGTACCAAAGGTGGAGGGAGTTGCTGCCAGCACAGAAGTCACTGCAAGAACACGGCAAGGTCAAACTGACCTTGGAAGCTTGTAAATCTGGAAAGCCTTTCAGCATTTAACTTTAGAAAACTCATGAAATCTTAGTTTCCTCCTTTTTAAAAAGGAATAACCTGTCCTCCTTGAGCCTGCAATGTGTTCCTCTAGGAAACATACTGGGTGCAACGAATGCTGTGTGAACGGGGCTGGGGGTCCCCCCAAACTGCAGGACAGTCCTGGGTCCACAGGATTATGATGACAGGAGCTGCAAGAAGACATGGCCCTGCTATGGCAGCTGAGTGGAGCTGTGCCCCCAGGAATAGGTTTCGTTTTGGAAACTTTTTGGTTCAGACTTCAAGGCAGACCAACAAAAAGCTTCCAGCTTCTCAGGCAGGAAGACAGGTTTGGTAGTAATTGTCTTTTAGGGACATTTGGTAGTGTTAGTCTTTTAGGAAGCCTGTGAAACTCAGTAGCTGGATGCTACCCATCTTCAAATACTGGAAGAAATGTTTGATCTGCAGGAAAGAAAATGAGACATGAGGAAAATAATGCTAAGAGTTGGGATTGGGATGGTGAAGCGTGTAACAAGTTATGGGATTGATTATCAAATCCCTTTTGCTGGAAGTTTTTAAAATCAGAGGAAGGGTTTGGTGGGTGTACAGGGAACTGGTGGTACTTCGGTGTGGGAATGATGTCTGAGGAGCCTCCAAGGCACACATCTGTACGGTACCATTGCTGAAAGGCAATGTTGGCAGTGGTGCAGCAGAGAGGTAAGGAATTCAGAGAGGCAAGATGAGACAGAGCAGGCAGCGGGCAGGGTCCATGCCCTGCACGGTCCCTCGCTGGTGCGACCGGTTTGGCAGTCGCAGAGGAATCTCAGCTATGGGACACGCAGCTCAGGGGACCTGTCTGTCCCTCCTCCTGCAGCTCACCTCCTGAAGCTCAAGCACTTACTGCTCCTCTCAATTTTCCTTTTTCTGTCTTAGAGGTGGAGGTTATTACCCTTGATCAAAGTTTTCTTCTCTGAGACACTAATCCAAAGAATCATCATAAAACACATAAAGTTTGGTGTTAGTATGGAAGTAACTCACAGATGAAATAAAAGTTTGGTGAACTGACCTTCGCATACAACAGCAGGCTGTCATTTTGTGATCTACATTTAGATTTTTTCCACATAAAACAAATCACTACACATCCCCTGTTTCACAAATTGCAATAAATATTTTGAAATACTCTATAAATATAATTTATTCTTGTCTCGTAAATGTCTCTGAACTCCACCCTTCACAATGAGAGTAGTTTTCCTAGTAACTAATATATTCCAAAGTCTTTTTAAAAAAGAGGGAAACAAAAAAGATGAAAATGAGGAAAAAAAAAGACAAATGATAAGACTGAACCTGTTTGATGGACACAAGATACACCACAGTCAGAGGTACTGTGAAGTTTTTATTGCCACTTGTTTCGTAATACTGTCCTCCCAGACTCACCCCAATAAAAGGTTTATTTTGCCCAGACTGCCAGGGCACGGCTTGCTCTGCAGGCAGGGCATGGTTAGGACCTCCACCTGGGCAGCCGGTGGAGTTGAGGCTCTCGAACTTCGTGGTGGCTAAAGGAACGAGACACAAACATGACATCCCTCAGCTTTTCCCTGCAGAGGTGGCAGCGGGGATGCATGCCAGTGCCTCGCTCTGCAGGGTGAGGGCTGGTGGCCCCTACAGCCCAGTCTGGAGAGCAGCAGAGGCTGGTCATGCAGGAAAGTCATGTAGATTTAATTATGGGAGAAGATAAAAGGATCTTTGCCAAAGGTCTCTGAGCTGGCCACTGAATTCAGACAAGAAAATTCATATTTTGCACCCTACTTTTTCAAACAAACGTAGGGAACTGATAGGTTCTGCTGAAATATAGCTTATGGTAGTGGTCAGAAAAGAGGGTGATGTACGAAAAGGATGCTGAAGGATTCATTACAGTCTGCAATGAAAGAAATGAAAAGTGGCTGGAAAAAGCAGCAAGATATCTTGAACATATACATGTATGAAACTGGGTTCAGCCCTGCAGAGAAGGACTTCGGGATACTGGTGGATGAAAAATTCAACATGAGAGGGCAACGTTCTCTTGCAGCCCAGAAAGCCAACTGTATCCTGGGCTGCATCAAAAGAAGTGTGACCAGCAGGTCGAGGGAGGTCATTGTACCCCTCTGCTCTGCTCTCGTGGAGTACTCCACCACCCAGAGTACTGCGTCCAGCTCTGGGGCCCCCGACATATGAAAGACATGGAGCTGTTGGAGCAAGTCCAGAGGAGGGCCATGCAGATGATCAGAGGGCTGGAGCACCTCTCCTGTGAAGACAGGCTGAGAGAGCTGGGGTTGTTCAGCCTGGAGAAGAGAAGGCTCCAGGGAGATCTCATAGCAGCCTTCCAGTACCTGAAGGGGTCTACAGGAAAGATGGAGAGGGACTGTTTATCAGGGAATGTAGTGACAGGACAAGGGGTAATGGCTTTAAACTGAAAGAGGGTAGATTTTGATTAGATATAAGGAAGAAGTTCTTTGCTGTGAGGGTGGTGAGTCCCTGGAACAGGTTGCCCAGAGAGGCTGTGGATGCCCCATGCGTGGCAGTGTTCAAGGCCAGGTTGGATGGGGCTTTGGGCAACCTGGTCTAGTGGAGGGTGTCCCTGCCCATGGCGGGGGGGCAGAAATGGATGTTTTTTGTAGGGCCCCTCCAACCCAAACCATTCTGTGATGATTCTCTATACAATACATTCACAGGGCTCATGCAGTGGAGGGACTTAGATCACTGCCCAAAGAAGCTGGAAGAGTACGGAGGGTCGCAACACAACAGTGTGGTCCTTGAGGTCATCCATCTGCACCTTCCACAGTCCCACAGGCTTGAACAAACTGAGTATCAAGGGGGATTGAAACGCTACCAAATCAGAATGGCAGCGAGGCAGTCTGTAAGAAGAGCCGATACCTTTTATTAGATCAATGAAATAATGTGCGAAAATATAACAGTTAAAAAAAAAAAAGAACAAAGATAAGTCTTCAGGCATGAAAGCCCCTCCTGAGACCTGCAAGAGGAGCTGAAGAGGGAATTGGTGTGGTACGACTTTCACATCTGTGTTGCAACAGTGATGGAGAATTAGGCCCATTTCCAGAGGAGTGGGGAGAGAGGACATTTAAACCCGGTCACCGTAACGGATACAGGTTAAAAAACATGTCCTCGTTGCAGTGGTTGAGACCAATACGGTGCCTTCTCTCACCTCCGTTGTCTTCGCTTCCCCTTGGAGGCACCGAGAGCTGGCGGTGGTGTTGTGCCCCGCTCACTGTGGGGCAGGGGCCTCCCTGAGGCACAGGGTATGGCGGTGGAGGGGGGCACAGCGGGGATTTCTCCTCACAGGATTCATCCCCCAAAGGGCCAGCGTTAGGCCTAAAGGGGTCATGGCCACCCTTTGTCATGGGCAGGATGTGCTGGGTGCCCAGCTGGGCACAGTGCTGGGGAAAAGGGGCTGCATGGGGTGGGTTGGCTGTGGGGACAGCAGGGTTGCTGCAAGGGCTCCCGGCACTGAGGGTCCTCCTGAGGGACGGGCTCCTGCTCCAGGTTGGTGCCTCTCTGGAGCCCCCGTCCTCCCCTGCTGCCCTTGGGTATGGTGGCCGCCCAGAGCAGCTGCCCAACATCGGCTCCTGGGAGCTTTTGCTTAAATGCGCCCCAAAATTAGCAGGTAGCATGTAAGCGTCCATCTTGGAAAGAAGCAAAGCCTCCCGCGTTGGCATTGCACCTGTCAGAGACTTGGGAAAGCAAGGCGTGGTTTAGTAAAACAAGGCGTAGTCTAGCAGGATGAAATAAAAACCGTCCTGCATGAGACCCTCACGAATGCATTCCATTAATACAGGTAACGAAGCAGGCACTGTAGCAGCGTACCCTCCTTGCAGGGTGGTGCCAGCGGGCTTTACAGGCAAACCAAACAGAGCTCCTAGATCACAAGCTGGCTCTGTTTTACCAGTTTTTGCCCAAACCCTGCTTTACACACTGAAAGAATTGTTAGACCTCACACTCACAGCCCTCGAGGCCTGCTGCCAGCATACGCTGAGGAAGCACCTGAAAATGAAGTTATGCTAATACACTTGATACCACAGAATTAATTTTTTTTCTATAGAGTTTGGAAAAGCTAAGTGTGTTTTTTATAAACTATTTTGAAGTGATCTTTTCATTGCAATAATATTATGCTTCAGCTTTTCAAGACTCTACTTCTATTTCTAACTGATAAATTTTCTTATCTTTACATTTTTTTACCCCACAAACAGAAATTTCATTCAGGGAGGGAGCAGCACACAAGAATTATTCTTCTGGATCTTTTTTCCTAGATATTTCAGAACTTCTTTAATTGCCCTAATTATTGGATTATAATTTTGCAAACTTTAATTCCTTTCAGAACAGTCATTCTGTGCTATCATTTCTGATGAGTACTTACAGGTCTGTCTTCTTTGTAATTCTGCTTTTGCATCCATTTAATTATAGTGATTCTGCTGACTGCCAGAGTAGCAAAGCTCCTTTCAGCTGTTCTCCTCTCACCATGAGAAGGAATTCCAACAACCTGATGTAGGACCCAGCCCACCTTCAGCTAAAGGCCTGCTGACACCACAGGGAAAACATCCTATGTATCACTTGCTCTATTTTGGGCTCATACATTTTTCTAAAGTTCTCCTCCCTGGTCTCCTGTGAGCACATTAAAATTGAATCTTTTCAGAAGACTTTTTGTGGATTCAGTGACACAGGTTCTGTGTGTCAAATCAGAGTCCTGAGTTAGTTGTATTGCAGCTGGTCTTGGCAGAACATGGATATGATGTGTTATTCCCAAGAAAAACCTGCCGGAGAGCCATGAACTGGAAAGCCAGCTGAGGGTAAACGGTATCAGTCTGACTAAACAGTCAGACCAGCTGAAAAACAGACTATACAATTAGTTATTCATGACATCTTTGGTCTGTTCCTACTCCCACAGAATTCGAAGTGAAAACACCAGGAAGATGTTGTAGGAAGGGAAAGACGAAGACATGTCTAGAGGGAACTTGACCTCAGTAAGACTAGTAGGTTCAGGTATAAAAGAAAAAAAGCCATGTGGCTCAGTAACTTTTCCTAGGTGAGGACTATTTTAGTGTTCATGGGGACAGAATTAAACCAGTGATATGAAAACCATTGTTTCTGTATTTGTTAGAGATTTACACAGTGGCTCAGCTGCTTTTTCTTACGCCCGTGTTCCCAGGCGCTTGTGTCAAGAGGCCACCACCAGCCCATCCTGTATTCTCTGACTGTCCCATCCCAAGTCAGTGTGTCTTCTTGAGATTCACTCCTGAGGTCTGGTTTTTAGTGTCCTCCTGAGTATTTTCAATAAAAATAGCTGCAGCTTCTAAATTCATATTCCATTCAAATGGGTTTAACTTCCTCTGTTGACTCTTTTAATCTACTTCTTGGGCTCCTGGATCCCCCTGCTTCCCCATGTTGTCCATTTAAGAATTCTGTCCCCACCCAGCCCAATTATCCCTTTTGTCTGAAGGGCCACTGATTAGTATCCCGAACCCCAGGCTGGGGAGAACACACCACCTCTAGCACAACAAAAGACAAACTGCATGTGAAGACCAGTGGTGTGCTGTTGTGTGTAACACAGCCTTTGCAAGGAAGGTCACTGGAGACAGCCTCACTGCTCTACCAGGTTGCCTCCATCAGGCAGTCCATGGGATCTCTATAGATGCTTTCACAAGTGTTTCCACACCCAGCAGAGCTGATGTTTTAATGTCAGTGCTTCTGTAAGTCCTCCAAAGCACTCTTCTGCCTTCAAAGCCCTCCTGGAGACCTGGGGACCAAGTGGGGTGAACCAGGCAGGGGTGACGTACCTTCCCCTTATCAACTCTGGCGAAACCCAGGGAGGACAAGCAGAGGTGGAGGGTGCCTTTGCTTTTCTGCAGCACCTCTTCCATGTCAGTGGAGGATCTCGGGACACATGTCAATGTGGAGAAAACATGACCTCCTGCTGTCTCTGCAAGGGTGGGACAGTGCCTCCTGCACCTGAGGGTGCCCTCACAGCCCTTGAGGGTCTGCAGGTGGCCCAATCCTACTCAGGGTCAGCTGCCCTGCAGGAGAGCATCTCCCTCCCTGATGGGCATTAAGTCAGTGAGTAAAATGATCCAGGCCTGCTACTGAAGTAACTGGGTTTTCTTAAGTAAAGGTTGGGGGACTGGAGGAAGGAGGAATAAAGATTTCTGGATTTGCCTTGTTAATGACAAGTTTGTTTGGCCAAGATACCATATGCAGTATATATCAGGCATATCATACAGATAATGTTATATATTGTATTCTATAGTAAAATAGTATATAGTGTGCATATATGTACACACCTACATGAATTTTCCTCCTGTTTTTCAAGTGTTCATTTGTTACAATTGTCTCATAGGGTGGTGCAATCAATACTATAAGTTAAATCCAATTAAAACCTTCTAATATTCTGCTTCAATGTAATTACTGATTAGACTAAAAATCTAATTACTTTATTCCCAGATTTCTTTGTAAATAATTTAATTTCTGGAGCAGCATGAACAAAGAATTCACAGGAAATTTTTCTAAAGGCAACTCTTGCATTTAAAAAAGGAAACAGCTGGAACTCTAAAGCTATGTCCATGCTGCTAAATAAAATGAGACCAAGGACTGTTGTTGATTACAGGGACCAAAAGGCATGTCCACACTACCTCCTGGCCTTGGGCGACCTCTGGACCTGAAGTGAAATGAAGCAAGGGCTGTGCTGCAGCCCAACAAGAGCTATTTTTCACAGCATCAGCTTGAGATTCTTATTGCTTGTGGTTTGTAGCATGACAGCATGTAGGAGCACAGGTTGCTTCCAAGCCAGCTGTGTACAGCGAAGGGACCCAAACCTGGTGCAACCTTGCCCAAAATCCTGCCAGGGAATGGTCCCTGGCACATGCTGCCCTCCTGACCCGTGCCAGGGCATTTTGTCTGTGAGCACGAGTTAGCACTGGCCAAATCCATGGCAGGGACCATGGGAATACTGATGTGAATGAGCCTGCCCTCTGCTTTGTTTATCAGTATAGATGTAATTCCCTGCTGCCACCAGGCCCACAGAGGCTCCAAATGGGAGTTGCTGGCAGTGGATGACAGTGCTGAGCAGAGCAGGATGTTAGGAAGGCCCTGCTCCTAATTGGCCTGATCACAGGGAGGCAGAATGCAGAGATGTAAAGCCTGCTCCCACTCAGACCCAAAGCCCACATAGCTTCCACCATGCCTTGAACTATGGATTACTGATCCCACAATTTCATTGATCGATAATAAGAGTTACCTCAATCTCCCGGATTCTTTTTAATCTTGGAGAAGATGGAGAAAAAGCCATCTGTGCTTTTTGGATTGACCTTCTTGCTTCTGCTTCTAGTTTTGTTTCTGGACGTGGATGATCATGAGCTCCTTTGGACTTTAGAAAGGAATTATGATAAGTTAAAGTTAGAAACAATCTTGTTATTAATCTTAAGGGAGCAGAATTTGTAGCACAGGCCAGAAACACGCATATGGCCTGATTTAGTGCTTTGTATTTAGACTTATTTAATGTGCGCTCAAGTAACAAACATATCTCAGATGAAGTGTGATGGGGTAGAAATTCTCTGAAATCATAAAACCAGTGCACCACATTTATGTGCAGAAGAGACTCCACACTAGAGCCCCAGTTGAAGCCACAAAGTCTTCTGCAGCCTGGCTACAGTGTCCCTGCAGTCATTTCCATTCCTCTCACACTTTAGACATGTTTGTCAGAACATTAATTTCCATTAGCTTCCATAGAGAATTAATTTTATTTAACCTGCACGTAAGTGAAAGACTGGAAAACAGGAGACAGTTCAGTGGTTCTGGCACTAAACTAGGACTACAGCTTCCAGACATAGTGCTCATTATTTAAAGATTTGCATACACTGTTTTCCAGATAAAAGTTACATATAATGCACAGATGGCATTTTCCATAGACAGTCTCTTGGGTACAACCATTTTCTGCTCTAAGATAGCCTCATGCTTACGCATGCTGCCTTGGAGAAGAGGTTGAGATAACATGGCATTTCTGACTTTTTGAGGATTCATTGGTCCCTGTGTACCTGAGGAAAAGTGCTTCAAAATCAACAGGTTTTCATGGGACCCTAAATGAAAAATATAATACATTGTAAAATCATAGTAGCATAGACTAATCTAGTTTGGAAGGAACCTCTGGAGGTCTAGCTCAACTTCCTGCTCAGACAGGGCTATCTTCAGAGTTAGATCAGGTTGCTTAAGACCTTGCTCACTCATTGTGAAAATTTTTTTCCTTACAGTCATCTGACCTTGTCATATTCAATGACCCTTATTGGTTGGAACAAAAAAAATATCCTTAATCTTAAAAAACATTCTTTAAAATTAACTTTCATAATGTAAGGTAATCTTATACAAACCTGAAAAAATATGAATTGGCCTTCATGCCTCCAGAAGTTGGTAACTGGGTAACCACCATGGCCTCGGCAGGAAAGGAGCCGCAGGGGTCCATTGCAGTTTGGACAGCACTTCCCTGGAGCAAAGATGGTGGAAAATACTTTCTATACAACACCGATCAGATGAATCTTATGTGATACAATGGTTCATAGGTTGCGGATTGCCACTTCTGGTTTGGGGCTCAGAAACTGAGAAAAATTATGCAAAAAGCTTTCAAACGTAAGCAAAAATTAATATAAGCAAACTAATAATTGCCTTTATTCTGTTCTGTTATTCCATTATTAGATATAATTGGCAAAATTTATTTCTATTATAGCTTTATTATCCATTTATCATTTATTATCATGGCCAGTTTTAGCTGTTTTTAACTTGGCAGTGTCTGGAATGTCATATGTATTCTTGTCTGATTTTTCTAGAGGACATCATTCTGACCTCAGTTAGTGCTTGAGTAATACCTTTCTTTAGCCAAAATGTTCATCAGATCCAGAAATCAGTATGTGCTAACTTTTCTAGGCAATCAACAATTGTTTGGAATGGTCTTGTTAAAAATGTGCGTGCAACTCATGTTCTCTATTTGCGTTGTCTTGCTCCGGTGACATGACTATGAGGCCTATTTTCCAGTCATCATAGTTTATGAGCAATTTCTTTCCTGCAAGACTTGCCTCCTGAGTTACTCTTGGGCCCATGCAATAACGAAGTCACCACTCAGGTTAGCAGGAAACTGCCTGCACTGCACAGCTTTCTCAGTAGCCTCACTGATGGGTTTGAGAAGGCTGGGAATCAATCTCTAGCCATCAGAAATAGAGACTGAAAAAAAAAAACCCAAAACCAAAACCAAAACCAAACAAGAAAACAACTCCTCCCACTACAGTAAGATATGTAAAATCATTGTTCCAAAATCAAGAGTTGCATTTGAATATAAGGAATGGCAGCATAATCCAAAGGGTATCCTCTACTTTGATTTCTTTTATGTTGTGTTCACTTATGAATTGCCATATAATGAACAGCCACATTCATACTCACGCTGTTGTTTTTGCCTAGCTTTATCACAAATGGCTGGTCTTAGATAGATCTTCCTCCCATCCAAGGTCGAGCAGTCGTTGCCACAGACCACCACCCCAAGGCAGGACTTTTTTAAGATGCGAGAGTTGTGGTTGTTGGTATTTCTCATTGCCCAGCTGCTGTGGTGCCTCTGAGCATTTTTATCCTCTGAGCTATAGATATGTTTTACGTAGGAATCTGGCCATTCTTGAAACCAGTCTATCTGTCTTATATCCTGTGGAGAGACCAAAGCAAGCCACGTTTTAGGCTGGGGAAGAGAAGAGCTTGTGCAAGAGCCCAGCAGACCTGGTCCTCTGCTGGGTGTCCTCTAGCCTGGGTGACTCCAGCACCCTGGCAGGTGGTGCTGGTTGGCAGGAGGGAGCAGTGGAGAGAAGGCAGAAAACCCACAGCTCCCCGTGGCTTCCTGTGAACCCCAAAGCAGCAGGAAAGCCTGGCCAGGAGGTTGTTCTCACTCACCCATGGGTCCAGCTCAGTGTAGGACCTCCCTGGGAGAGGAAGGTGGGGTGCCTGACGTAAAATAGCAGATACTTTCCTTGCAGGCAGCAGTCACTGCCTGACTAACTGCTGTTAGCTTTCATGGCAGGGATCTTGCTTTTGCCTTTCAGGCTACTCACAGCAGTGTTACACTGAATCATTTGGCTTGATTTGGCTCTGCTTGCTGGAAAAAGGGCGAATGCTGAATCAGACTGAGACTATGCCCACATTTGTAGGTCTTTAGTTCTGGTCTTTGGTTCATTTTGGCTAACTGCCATGAAAGACTTCCACGGTGATTTTTCTGAAGTCCAAAACAAAGAAACCTGGCATCCTGGTCAGGTTTTATTTTCATTGCTATGAACTAAGCAAAAAAGAACCCCAAGGACAACACTGTAAGGAACAATAAAAATAAAACTCAATAGAAAAAAAAAAACAAAACCCAAACAAAGAACCAAACACACATCACCTCAGTGGGTACAGTCAACACAGTAAAATGCAGTAAGCTGTAAAGCACCTACCATACCTGCTGATGGTTTTGAGGGAAAAGGTCTTGTGGGCGTACAAAAACTTAATAGGAATTTCATTGAAATTGCTGATCCCAGCCACTGAGAGCCATTACAGCAGCCAGAACATCGACTGAGAAGACAAAAACTCCTGTGCTCCCCCAGGAGCCATCGGATAATGCAGGGAAGGGTGTGGAGGAAGCCTCCAGGCTGAAATGCAGGTGAAGGTGACCTTGGGGTGGAGGGCAGGGAAGGAGACAGCCTGGGACATGAAGACTTTGGGTGAACAGCAGCAGCATAGTAGGGAAGAGACTGGGATCAGATCAGAAGACAGGGCTGGGAGGTGAAAGGCAGAGCTGGACACTGAAGGACCGCAGCAGGAGGAATCTGGCACAAATATGGTGAGGCAAGGGACAAGGAGATGATGTTGGCGTGCAGGGTGCTGTGGGCTTTTGGTGGAGAGCATGGTTGAAATTTTTAGATAAGAGGACTAGAAAATGACTGAGAGAAGGAAAGATCACTATTCTGCCTCTCAACAAATCTCTGCAAACTTTTTCTCAGCAAGCTTTTCCTAGATGCTCATGAAAGGAGTGTTGCCTCCATACCAAAAGCCATCCTCCCTGCCTGGAGCCTGATCTGCAGCGAGGCTGAGCACCCAGAGTTGCAGGGCAGCCGTGGGTGCTGTGCTCACTTCTCATAAAGCACTACTCAGGGCAAAAGGCAAGTCCTGGACATCTCTAATTGAGCACCCTCAGCAGGAGATATTCTTTTCCCCCTGTTTTCTCTGCACCTCATCCACCAGTGGACTAGAAAGGCAACATATCTGCAGCGTTGCTAGCAGCAGCTCTTTCAATAATACATTTAAGGAAAAACACATGGGAACTTCAGTATTTGCTCAATATTTTCTAGCTTTTCAGTAAAACACTGTCTCATACTTTGAGGTGGCAAAGAGAATATAGGCAATGAGGCATAGAAGACTGAGAAAGCATTTAAGATCAGTGGTGAAGTGGTCAGAACTGGATAAATTTCTAAGACACAGACACATACCTGGGGAAGTTTGATGTCATTGATATCCCAACTTGTCATTTCTCCACGTTGGGAAGCAGAGTCCTCCTGCTCCATAACAACATCATCTGCACCTTTCAGCATTTTTGAATTTCTTCCCAAAGTTAGCGAGAAAGTTTCTCCTGGCTGCTTTTGAAGTTGACTGGCTGTCAGCACTCTCAAGCAGTTTACAACCAGGAAGCTGTTTCCTGAAGCTAAATGATAGAGAGGCTGCTCATTAAAGATAAAAATCAGTGTTCTTCTGCCAGAAAAACTTGTTCCATTAAAAGTTTTGTAAGCCAGCAATGCAGTGGAAAATATAGCTTAGAGATAGCCTGTGATGTTACAGAGGCATTGTTAACAGCGAGCAAATCGTGCCTTTGTCTTCTGTTCTATTTTGCTCGGTCTCCTCTCATACCAAGTTTATAGTCATGTAACTTTGCTTGCAGGTTCTTTGTACATCTGATCTGACTCTAGCTCAATATTTCCAGAGCCAAACTGATTGAACAGCTCAGCAGCTGCTAAAGGCTCTTTGAGTCGCTGCTTACCCATTAGATATTTCACGTGCTGCACATGACAAAGGTGAGCAACAAGAGGGGACTGCTGCATCATTTCAGATGAAACAGCACTCAACCATTTCAAATGTTGTTGTGATCTTTGACAGCTTACCAGTTGCATGAGAGAAGTGTAGAAAAGGAGGTTGGGCTACCTGCATTTTCCTATCTCAGCAGCAGATTGAAGTAAAAAACCCCATCTAGTTATGTTTGTTAAAACCAACAGTTTTTGCCTGAAATCTTGTAAAGCAGGCTGTTGCCCTACCCCAAATTTCAGTACCAGACAAGATTAACATCGTATCCTCAGGGATCCCATGCATGAAAAAGTTTTGGGCTTTGTTTTGTTTGGCAAGGAGAGAAAAGGCAAATCAGAAAATGAACAGGTCCGTTTTCTCTTTCTGGAAACTGGGAAAGCTTCAATGGTTTCAGGAAGGTCACTGTAATTTATGCCAATTAAGGATTTGTTAAAGATTAATGAGTACCAGGAGAAGTAAAATCTAGTTGATGCAATTCTATTTCATAGACTTTATTAAGCATAATTTTTTTTTTTTTTCTGGCTCTGCATATGCCTGGCCCTTGGAAAGTGACTTAGCCTTCATGTCCTTAGTTTACCCATTTATAAAATACCTGTGATCTTAATTTCTCATGTTATATTTTCACCTCAAAAGCAAGAGTTTGCAGATATTTGCAGAGCACTTGAGACATTTGGCTGTATGGTGCTCTGGCAGGGTAGTCAGAGCCCCACTGCCCCACTCTGTGGCTCAGGCTGTGGCGGTGAGGGAGAAAAAAGTCTATGGCAGAGTATCCCCCATGGAAAAAGACCACACAGAAGGATGCTTGGTAGGGCACCCACAGAAGGATGCACTGGCCAGTGCACTCAGGAATTTGAACTGAGGCTGGTTCTTGGAGGGCAACTAACCCATCACAGGTTCAAATAAGATGTTAGACCAGAGGAGAGGGGAACACCACTGCTCAGAAAGACAAGTAGCTGTAAGAAACACCAGGTCTTCATATATTTTCATATTGCGCTACAATTAAGATGGAGATAGCAAAGTCAAGGCAAGCTGGCTCCTCTCCTCTCCTCCCCTCTCCTCTTTTTCCTTCCCTTCAGCAGAAAAAACTTTTCTGCTCCTCTTAGAAAAAAAGTGAAAATTTCGATGTCAACACTGAATTGTTTTGATTTGGAAAAATACAAGTAAGAAAAATTGGAATTATTATTATATTAAGAAGGAACGATGTAAGTAGCACCTCTGTTTGGCACTGGAATATGGTGCAATTCATCGTGCTTAAAAAACAGTGAAAGTAATCTAGTTCTCCTGCCCTTTGATCTGTTTTTGTTTTCTTTTTCCTTGTAAATGTTCATTGATACAGAAGGTAAACAGCAGGGTGTAGCAAGGTTCTGGTTTTGGTCCAATGTTTAATGTATCTACTGATGATCTGGAAGTGAAGAAAACAGGGAGAAAAAAATGCACAGATTACAAAAATGTATTTGAATTAATCCTTTAGAAGAATTTACTCATATTTCACCCTGACAAAATAATTCACGTTTGAAGGGTAATATTTAAAGTATTTATTTATTTATCTTACAGAACTGCTCTCAATTAACTCATGGACATGACTGAGGGATCCGTATGGGCAGTTCCACAAACACAAGGTGTCAGACAAAAAGTGACCAGGCTGTTGGAATACAGAAAGACTGCGGTGAAGAGCCATACACTAAACTATGGTATTACCAATTCACAGACCATTACTGATTTTTCACTTATGATACTGTGCAAAAAGACCAGTCATTCCCAGAAAGAGAAAAGACTCAGGGCATAGGAAATCCATAAAAGCTGGGATTATTCCAGAAGAGACATATAAGCAAGGGCACTATAAAAATGACTTAAAATACAGAAGGGTGTAGAGGAAGCAGGGGGTGCTTCTCATTTAACCGCCTGAGAGCCCAGGGGCACAGCGTGAAAACAACTGGCAAATTCAAAAATGAGGCAAAGAAATGCATTTTTCATTCACTATATAATTAGTATCAGTTTGCCTAATGAAAGCTATTTCCTCTCCCTCCAAGCCTTGCCCCACTTATTTCCTTATTTCTTATTTCTTTTACTACTAGTATTACTGTAGTAGGTCATGAAGATTAAACACTAGGCAAGACTGAATAAGATCAAAAACATAGGAAAGAAATAATATTTGAAGATCTGCTATTTAATACTTATATCTATGTAACATCTGAAATATTTTATAATACCTTTAGAAAGAGATATTAAGCCTCATATTTTATGAGTTATGGAAATTTTTAACTGGCAAGATTAGGAAGATTTCTTCTAGTTTCCTCAGAAGTACTCAGTGTTGACCACTTAGGAAAAGGATTATGAATTTTTAAAAGAGATTATATATATTACATGTAATTTACATGAGCCTACAGGTTAAATTAATTCAATATAATCTGCAAGTTCTTATTTGCAAGGACAGTCTTGCAGGCCATAACCACAGACAGACATCAGGAGTTCTTCAGCAGTCGTCTATGACAAGAGATCAAGGACTGGAAAAAGCCCTGGGGCCCTAAAAAGCTTCTTGCATTCAGGCTGACACTCTGGAGAGGGCTGTGCAACCCTGCCGAGCGGCACCTGGGGAAAGCAGCTCTCGCTGCGGTTGTCCACCACTGTCTTTGGCTGCCAGGCTCTGCTGAAGGACAGTAGCTGGCAGCAGGAACACATGGATGTAGGCTATTAGAGAGCGGTCACCAGATCACTCTCCTTCCTTGTATTGTTTTACCTCCATATGAAGAAGCTGCTTTTGTCAGTGCTCCCATCAGTCTTCCTTTTTCTCTCTTAGATGTCATCTTTCAGCGATGACAACCTTTAAATGATCTCAGGTGCAGTCGGTGGTGCTCAGACACACGGGCTGGGTTGCCTGTCCTGCCAACAGCATGTGTTTCACTGTCTTCCATGGATGCCTTTGTGCCTTGCCTTCAAGTGCGTGATTTTCCCTGACACTGAGAGGTTCTCCCTGCTGATGGGAGCTCTCCTGCCTCTCCTTCACTGCAGGCATTGGCCTTTGCATGCCTTTTGTCCTTCTTTGGTCCCCCCTTTTATTACTGCAGAGTTTCATGGTGTTACACCATGGGAACCAAGGAACATGCAAGTTTGGATGACAACTCTAGTATACCAAGGTGCTACTGACACTCCTTGTGGAATATTTCTCTCGATTGGCCTGACAAATTTTTTTCTTTTTTTTCAAATACATTCCACAGACTTAAAAATAACAATTTTGTCTTCCATTTCAGCCTTGCTATTTGATCAATTGTGGCAGCAGGGTGAAGTAATATGACTAAACTCCCAGACACAGAGCATAAACTCACTACAAATAGACCTGTCATTTGTAATGAGAAGACAGTTTTGGCCTGTGCAAAAGTGCTCTGGGGATGCTGCTCATTTTCTGGAGACAAGCTTTTGTTCCCAGATGGCCCTGATGTATCCTCAAGTTGGCTGCTTCTATCTTCAACATCATTTGAAATGCTTATGCTGTCTTCACCATTTAGTATCCAAAAGTGAAAGCTTCTCCTCTGTGGTCTGGCTCTTTTAAAGAAAGATGGATGTATTTTGAGATGGAAGTATTTTTAAATACTTGGTTGGTTTTGTTTTTCTTTTGTTTCTCTTTAGTTCTTTTCTTGAAGCTGAGTTTGCGTGGCCAAGTTTTGGTAGCAGGGGGGCTACAGGGGGTGGCTTCTGCGAGAAGCTGCTAGAAGCTTCCCCCATGTTTGATGGGGCCAATGCCAGCTGGCTCCAAGATGGACTCGCCGCTGGCCAAGGCTGAGCCCATCAGCAACAGTGGTAGCGTCTCTGGGATAACATAGTTAAGAAGGGGAAAAAGCTGCTGCGCAACAGCAGCCAAAACTAGGAGAAGTTTTTTTGCAGCCGGAGAGAGGAGTGACAAGATGTGAGAGG